CAGCAATGGGAGGCCGTACAGGGACCCATGAGAGACTCTGGACCTGGCAGCAGCATGAGGAGGAGGCGGTATATAGGGGCCCTATGGCAGATTAGGGGCCTGGCAGCAGCTATGGGGGGGCCCGTAATCTGCCAGCACCCTATGTCAAAAAAAAACACACCAGCAGTGTGTGAGGAGACCTGAAAGTGGCACATGGCAGAGTGTGGCGATGGAGACAGCAGCAATGGGAGGCCGTACAGGGACCCATGAGAGACTCTGACCTGGACCTGGCAGCAGCATGAGGAGGCGGTATATAGGGGCCCATGGCAGATTAGGGGCCTGGCAGCAGCTATAGGAGGCCCGTAATCTGCCAGCACCCTATGTCAAAAAATTCTACACACCAGCAGTGTGTGAGGAGACCTGAAAGTGGCACATGGCAGAGTGTGGCGATGGAGACAGCAGCAATGGGAGGCCGTACAGGGACCCATGAGAGACTCTGGACCTGGCAGCAGCATGAGGAGCGGTATATAGGGGCCCATGGCAGATTAGGGGCCTGGCAGCAGCTATGGGAGGCCCGTAATCTGCCAGCACCCTATGTCAAAAAATTCTACACACCAGCAGTGTGTGAGGAGACCTGAAAGTGGCACATGGCAGAGTGTGGCGATGGAGACAGCAGCAATGGGAGGCCGTACAGGGACCCATGAGAGACTCTGGACCTGGCAGCAGCATGAGGAGGCGGTATATAGGGGCCCATGGCAGATTAGGGGCCTGGCAGCAGCTATATGGGAGGCCCGTAATCTGCCAGCACCCTATGTCAAAAAATTCAACACACCAGCAGTGTGTGTGAGGAGACCTGAAAGTGGCACATGGCAGAGTGTGGCGATGGAGACAGCAGCAATGGAGGCCGTACAGGGACCCATGAGAGACTCTGGACCTGGCAGCAGCATGAGGAGGCGGTATATAGGGGCCCATGGCAGATTAGGGGCCTGGCAGCAGCTATGGGAGGCCCGTAATCTGCCAGCACCCTATGTCAAAAAATTCTACAACACACCAGCAGTGTGTGAGGAGACCTGAAAGGCACATGGCAGAGTGTGGCGATGGAGACAGCAGCAATGGGAGGCCGTACAGGGACCCATGAGAGACTCTGACCTGGCAGCAGCATGAGGAGGCGGTATATAGGGGCCCATGGCAGATTAGGGGCCTGGCAGCAGCTATGGGAGGCCCGTAATCTGCCAGCACCCTATGTCAAAAAATTCTACACACCAGCAGTGTGTGAGGAGACCTGAAAGTGGCACATGGCAGAGTGTGGCGATGGAGACAGCAGCAATGGGGAGGCCGTACAGGGACCCATGAGAGACTCTGGACCTGGCAGCAGCATGAGGAGGCGGTATATAGGGGCCCATGGCAGATTAGGGGCCTGGCAGCAGCTATAGGAGGCCCGTAATCTGCCAGCACCCTATGTCAAAAAATTCTCACACACACCAGCAGTGTGTGAGGAGACCTGAAAGTGGCACATGGCAGAGTGTGGCGATGGAGACAGCAGCAATGGGAGGCCGTACAGGGACCCATGAGAGACTCTGGACCTGCAGCAGCATGAGGAGGAGGCGGTATATAGGGGCCTATGGCAGATTGGGGGCCTGGCAGCAGCTATGGGAGGCCCGTAATCTGCCAGCACCCTATGTCAAAAAATTTCACACACACCAGCAGTGTGTGAGGAGACCTGAAAGTGGCACATGGCAGAGTGTGGCGATGGAGACAGCAGCAATGGGAGGCCGTACATTCTGGGACCCATGAGAGACTCTGGACCTGGCAGCAGCATGAGGAGGCGGTATATAGGGGCCCATGGCAGATTAGGGGGGCCAAGCAGCAGCTATGGGAGGTCCGTAATCTGCCAGCACCCTATGTCACTCTCCTCGCCAGTACTTCTTCGCCTGGCTGCTGAAAAGGCCGATGTCTCCCCCGTTCCTGACCGCCCTCTGTTAGCTCTTCCTCACTGTACAGTGGGGCTGAGCCCACAGCATGCGATACTTCGCTTGGTGAGGGAACAGCAAAGGACAGGGGCAGGTAGAGGACATGTGATTTCAGTGGGCTTGCTCCCGGGCCATGCCAACTAACGTTTGTGTCTGTCTGGTACCCACCGACCGTTGGCTGTAGGTGTCAGAGGTGACCTGGGAAGAGGAAGACGACCGAGCCAACCAATCAATGACGGCAGGGTTGTCGGTGGAGACACGACCGCTGGATGACACCGGGAGCACTGGCCTCTGGCTGCGAATAGTGCTGCCTCGACCCCTTCCTCTGCTGCCACGTCTGCTCGCTCCTAAAAAATTGCCTCCTCTGCCACTCCTCTGCATGTTGTCTGACATACTCTTTAATTTCAACGATTATGTGTCCCTGAGTAACAATTCTCTGGCACTCAGTAACAATTCTGTCTGTCCCTGAGTAAAAAATTCTGTGGCCCTAAGTAAAGTTTCTGTGGCCCTGAGTAACAATTCTCTGCACTCAGCAATTCTGTCTGTCCCTGAGTAACAAACTCAATTCTGTCTGTCCCTGAGTAACAATTCTGTGGCCCTAAGTAAAGTTTCTGTGGCCCTGAGTAACAATTCTCTGGCCCTAAGTAACAATTCTGTGTCCCTGAGTAACAATCTGTGGCCCTCAGTAACAGTGTCTGTGGTAACAACCTCAGTAACAATTCTGTCTGTCCCTGAGTAACAACAACTCAGTAACAATTCTGTCTGTCCCTGTAAACAATTCTGTGGCACTCAGTAACAATTCTGTCTGTCCCTGAGTAACAATTCTCTGGTAAGTAACAATGGCCCGAGTAACAATTCTGTGGCCCTAAGTAACAATTCTGTGGCCCTGAGTAACAATTCTCTGGCACTCAGTAACAATTCTGTCTGTCCCTGAGTAACAATTCTCTGGCACTCAGTAACAATTCTGTCTGTCCCTGAGTAAAAATTCTGTGGCCCTAAGTAAAGTTTCTGTGGCCCTGAGTAACAATTCTCTGGCACTCCTGAGTAACAATTCTGTCTGTCCCTGAGTAGTAAATTCTGTGGCCCTAACTAGCGTTTCTGTCCCTAAGTAACAGTTTCTGTGGCCCTGAGTAACAATTCTGTGTCTGTGCGAGTAACAATTCTGTGGCCCTAAGTAACAGTTTCTGTGGCCCTCAGTAACAGTTCTGTGTCTGTGCGAGTAACAATTCTGTGTCTGTGCGAGTAACAATTCTGTGGCCCTAAGTAAAGTTTCTGTGGCCCTCAGTAACAAGTTCTGTGTCTGTGCGAGTAACAATTCTGTGTGTCTGTGCGAGTAACAATTCTGTGGCCCTAAGTAAAATTTTCTGTGGCCCTAAGTAACAATTCTCTGGCACTCAGTAACAATTCTGTCTGTCCCTGAGTAACAATTCTCTGGCACTCAGTAACAATTCTGTCTGTCCCTGAGTAAAAAATTCTGTGGCCCTAAGTAAAGTTTCTGTGGCCCTGAGTAACAATTCTCTGGCACTCCGTAACAATTCTGTCTGTCCCTGAGTATGAATTCTGTGGCCCTAAGTAACAATTCTTTGTCCCTAAGTAACAGTTCTGTGGCCCTAAGTAACAGTTTCTGTGGCCCTCAGTAACAGTTCTCTGTGTCTGTGCGAGTAACAATTCTGTGTCTGTGCGAGTAACAATTCTGTGGCCCTAAGTAAAGTTTCTGTGGCCCTAAGTAACAATTCTGTGGCCCTAAGTAAAGTTTCTGTGGCCCTAAGTAACAATCTCTGCACTCAGTAACAATTCTGTCTGTCCCTGAGTAACAATTCTCTGGCACTCAGTAACAATTCTGTCTGTCCCTGAGTAAAAATTCTGTGGCCCTAAGTAAAGTTTCTGGGGCCCTGAGTAACAATTCTCTGGCACTCAGTAACAATTCTGTCTGTCCCCTGAGTAACAATTCTCTGGCACTCAGTAACAATTCTGTCTGTCCCTGAGTAAAAATTCTGTGGCCCTAAGTAAAGTTTCTGTGGCCCTAAGTAACAATTCTCTGGCACTCAGTAACAATTCTGTCTGTCCCTGAGTAACAATTCTCTGGCACTCAGTAACAATTCTGTCTGTCCCTGAGTAAAAATTCTGTGGCCCTAATTAAAGTTTCTGTGGCCCTAAGTAACAATTCTCTGGCACTCAGTAACAATTCTGTCTGTCCCTGAGTAACAATTCTCTGGCACTCAGTAACAATTCTGTCTGTCCCTGAGTAAAAATTCTGTGGCCCTAATAACGTTTCTGTGGCCCTAAGTAACAATTCTCTGGCACTGAGTAACAATTCTGTCTGTCCCTGATTATGAATTCTGTGGCCCTAACTAGCGTTTCTTTGTCCCTAAATAACGATTCTGTGGCCCTCATTAACAAGTCTGTGTCCCTGAGTAATGGTTCTCTGTCCCTAAGTAACTTTTCTCTGTCCCCAATTATCGTTTCTGTGGCCCTAACTCTGTCCCTGTCCCTAGTACAGAGCGGTCTGCCTCTGTTCAATAACTGCAGGCAAATGAAGAATTCCAAAATGGCCGCTATTTATAGCTCGACCATTACACAGTGCTGGCTGGCTGGCTGCTGATTGGCTGATGCGATCACATGTAGTTGAGGAATGCATTATGGGTCAGCGCGCCTTGTCTGCGCGCCTTCCCAGACATCCCCGCTCCGTCGCCGCACATGTCAGCCGCCATTTTCTGAAAAATTTCGATTCGCGCGTCCGAATTAGGCTATTTTTCGGATTCGGCACGAATCGAAATTTTTCCGATATTCGACTCGAATTCCACTTCGGATACTTCGATTCGCTCATCTCTAATTATGTCAGTATTTCTGTGCTCAATGCGGTACATTTTTTTGCATAGAAATATGTTTTTTTTTTATTGTAGGCCTGTAATTTTTTGGAATAACTCACTGAAATCTGTCTGAACAAGAGACTAGTAAACATCTCGGGTATGATAAAATTTGAAACATGAAATCATAAATTATAATATAATAAATAATCCTAAAAAATAATAAATGAATTAAATTCATCACTCAATTCTGCAAGTGGTTCTGATTTACTATCGCTGTTCTCTAGCTGGTCTAAACCCGCTTTTGACCTAAAGGGACGCTTTTTGGACGCCATGGACGTTTCTCAGTTTCCAGGCAGAAAGAACAGTAAAAATGCAGGCAGGGCACAGGACAAAGCACTCGGGACAAAATGTATGTGAAATGGTTTGATACAGGAATGTTTCACTATGTGGTTTTTAGTGTATTTAGTGAATGTCACTTTTTCACATTTTTATATTTCCCGCCGTACCGTCCCCCGTACGTCCCGACGTCGCAGGGAACGGAACCCGGAAGACAGATGCCGGCAGCGGCCGGAGGACATTACAGGGGACACTTCAGGGGGGACATTGCGGGAACGCAGGACAAGGTAAGTGAAGAAGAGATCCCGGAGCAGCGCTGCAGGGTATTTCCGAGTGTAGCTCGGGGTTACCGCTTGTGGTGCTGAAACTTTACCCCGAGCTACACTCGGGAATACCACCAGGGAGGTTAATTAGATTCCAATAAAAATGTATAATTATTGTTCTCAAAGAACCACATTACATTGAGAAACACATTTTATAATATTAAAAAATTACAATAGCACATATTTTTTGTTGTTACCTGATAAATGTGTTAAATGAAAATGAGAGCGGTCTTCAAATAAAATAACACACATGAGAATGTTCCTGCAGTGAGTTGCAAGTTTATATCATGTACGAAATACTGACTTACAGAATTGTACAATATGCTTTTTACTTATAATAGTACCTTTTTGTAAATGAAATAATACACAGTTGCATTACTGGTTACTTCTATATTGAAATATACTGTTGTTGGGCTGGTCAAGTTAAACTCTTTTGTGGGTTTTAAATTCTATTTTGCTGCCGAAAAACCTGAATCTGCCATTCACAGATTTGCGTACTATAGTCTTTTACTGGATTTAAAAACATTTTATAGGGAAATTTGATAAAGTCCCAACTTTCTTTAGTTTTGGATAGAATAGGGAATTGTTAAGACTTAGGGGGTATTTCAATTCACTTCTCATCACCCTAAAGACAAAGGAGATCAATATCATACATCTCAAAACAAAAGTTTTATCTAATTTGCCACAGTATGCTTTCCCCGGTCCCTCATTTCCCCCATCACCAACATGCTAATGAAAATATTAAATTAAACCTTTCCATTTTCATTAGACAGTGCCCTCATCACTGGGTCTGTATTTCGCAATGGAATGGCAGGCAGATCATGACTGGTGGGGCTTCCTGAAAATATCACAGCAACCTGTACTGCTTTCAAGAGCCCTTAAAGGCTAAGTTCACCTTTGTAAAAAGATAATAAATGCACATGTTTTTGGAGGTAAAAAAAAATATGCATTTATTTTTTTTTTCTCAGACCTGCAGAGCATTGCACTGGCGATCAGTAGATCAGGCTGTCTGTTTCAGAGCTGCAGGATGAGTGCATAGACTTCAAGCTCACTGATCAGCATGCTCATAGTCATTTGAGAACTACAAGCCATCTTCTGCAGTGGCAGATGGGATTCAGAGACAGCTCTTTAATTAGGCAAATTAGGTGGTCGCCTAAGGCCTCACCCTTACAAGGGCCTCGTGGCCACCTAATTTGCCTAACGAAGGGAGGGTAGAGTCCAGCATCAGGATGGCGCTGCCTGCAGTTGTATGGGAACTAACCAGATGTGCCAGGACACCAGATGTGCCACACACGCTCCTGTCGGGAACTGGAGAATACTTTTGTCCTAACTGTGGGTGTACTGTCTATCTCTCTACTGTTTTAAGGCAGAGGAAGTCTAACATTTCTTCCAGAAAAAACTGGGGTTTATGCTGACTGATCTTGGTTGGACATGATGTGTGGGAGTCAGGGGCGGACTGATCATTTGGAAACTCGGGCACTGCCCGAGGGCCTGGGGTCAGTAGGGGGCCCCATGAGATGCCCCCGGTACCTTTTTCATAGGTTTTTTTGAGTTTGGGCAAGGACACAGGGGCCCCATGATCCCCTATTGCCCGGGGGCCTCATGAGTTGCCAGTCCGCCCCTGGTGGGAGTATTGCATTTATCGCCTTAAAGGATTGACTTTGGGATACCTTGTCCCCCTATGGCTAGTGATATCGCCCTTATTGGGTCCCCTGCCTTGTCATGGAAGCTTTTGAAACATGATACAGTGTGCAATATGATCCCCTGTACTCTTGGTGACATCAAGTGCAAAGCTCATTAAAACTCCTGAAGAAGCCAATTTATGGTGAAACATGTTGAGTAGAAGCTACTGCAAAAGTACTCAGAGTCGTCTTGACTTCAAATGTAATTGAGAAATTATGTTATTATTAACCACTTGCCTACCGGGCATTTTTACTCCCTTCCTGCCCAGGCCAATTTTCAGCTTTCAGTGCTGTCGCACTTTAAATGACAATTGCGCGGTCATGCAACACTGAACTCAAACAAAATTTTTCTTATTTTTTTTTAGACAGATAGAGCTTTCTTTTGGTAGTATTTAATCCCCTCTGGGTTTTTTTATTTTTTGTAAACAATTTAAAACAGACTGAAAATGTAAAAAAAAAAGTTTTTTCTTAGTTTCTATTATGAAATTTTGTAAATAAGTAATTTTTCTCCTTCACTGATGTGTGCTCATGAGGCTGTAGTAATGGGCACTGATAGGCTGCCTTGATGGGCACTGATAGGTGGCACTGATGAGGAAGCACTGATGGGCATTGACAGGCATCACTGGTGGGAATTGACAGGCATTACTGATGGGCACCAAAAGGCAGCACTTATATATGATACTGATAGGCGGCACTTACTGGCATTGATAAATGGCATTGATAGGCAGCACGGTTTGGTGGCACTGATAGGCAGCTCTGATGGGCACTGATATGTCAAATCCAACACAACAAACACTTTACTCCTGCGCTAGGAAAGGACTCAGTAGACCCAATAGGAATGTTCTGGAATTTTCTGGAATATGCACTGCTTGTTGCTCTCAACAGACCGGGGTGGTCCAAATACACTGGATACAAATGGAGAAACAGAAAAAGGGTGCACCAACCTAGTGCATTATCATTTAAAATAATTTATTGAAGAAACAAAATAGGTATCATACTCACAATGGACATAATAACACAGGCATGTCAAACTGAACAAGATGTATGATCCAAACAACATCTGAGTCCATACGATGGAACCCTGGATGACCAAATTTCTAACGCGTTTCGCGGCTCTGAGGAAGAGGTTGTGTCCTCGAAATGCGTTAGCCAGTTGATCATCCAGGGTTCCATCGTATGGACTCAGATGTTGCTTGGATCATACATCTTGTTCAGTTTGACATGCCTGTGTTATGTCCATTGTAAGTATGATACCTATTTTGTTTCTTCAATAAATTATTTTAAACGATAATGCACTAGGTCGGTGCACCCTTTTTCTGTTTCTCCATTTGTATCCAGGGCACTGATATGTGGCATTTATGTGCACTGATGGGCACTGGTATGTGGCATTGATGGTGACTGAAAGGCAGCACTAATGGGGCCACACTGATAATTGGGGCACTGATGATCAGTGTAGATGTCCCATCTGAGGAATGCCGCTTGCCGGCTCTCCTCTCCTCACACGCTGTTAACATGAGGAGAGGACTGCCAATAACTGGCATTTCCTATTTACATGCAATCAGCTGTGATTGGACACAGTTGATCACATGATAGAGCCTGTTTCATCGCCTCTTTACTGTGATTGGTGATGAGCTGTGTCCCAGTGACGCAGCACACTACTGATCACCGCACCACGTGCCTCAGGGGGCGTGCATGCGCAGCTAAAGTGGGAGAATGTCCTATGATGTCCTCCCAGAACAAGAGAGCCACCACCCACCTGTCATTTCCTTATATGGCGGGCAGGAGGCGGTTAATACCATGTCCATTGGTGTTTGTTTTTATATGCTGTCAATAAAACTGTTATAGTTTTTACAACATTGTGGTATTTGATCATATGGTGACACCATTTAAAAATCCTTTTCAATATTTGGTACAAAATACTTGCATTGTCTACCTCTTGGTTATTAAGTGTGATTAATAAATTGAATGCTCTCTATAATTACTTTTAATTCAGCAGTAAAAGTCTAACTGTTCTGTAATATATCAAATTTTGAAAACAAACTTTTGGCTGCTGACCCCAAATTATTACACTAAATTCCTATTCCTAATTTGATGTTTGCTATCTCCAAGACAGACTAGTGATTGTGGAACATTTTTTACTTTTAATGTAAGTATTATTTTATCATTTTAAGTAAGCATGTTACAGTGTTGTTTTTAAAGTGGTTCTTGCTCAGGTCATCCTGTATCTAACTCTAAAGACTGTATCAGTTAACATCGGTGACACTGCAAAGATCAGTTGTGTATCTAGTGACCCCTTAAAAGCTGGAACTTCTCCAATGGTACTGGAAGACCTGGATAACTGGAAACCTCCTTGTGAAATCCTGTTTATGTGACAAGGACAAATGGAAATACGAATGTGACAATTACTGAAGCAAGACTAAAGATATACAGAACAGAACACAGAGTTTATCATTGTGCGTACAGTTCTGATCAATCCTTGAAGTTGGGCAATGGAGCATCTCTGATTGTTAGAGGTAAGACTCTACATGTTGTACTCAGATTTGAGTGAAAAGACAGATCCCATAATAAAATTGGCTAGACTCCAAACTGTGTACACTATAACTGTGCTCTCTTAATCTGCTATAATCAGCATAAAGTGGACATTCTGCCAGCTCCTGAATCCAAGATGGTGGCACAGGAACAAAAAAAGCTGTGAATACTGTGGGTGTAAGGAAGACATCACTGGACTTAGTGGGCTGATATGTTCTTTATAAATATAAATAAACTGTGAGTTTTTTTCTTTTGGTTGGATGGTGGAGTCTATTCGGAGGGTGAAGATTTTCCCTAGCGTGGCACCAAAGAGGGTTTAGGATCCCTAAAAATTCCTTAAAGATCTTTTACTCACCAAGTTCTGGTGAGTGTATTCGATGTTGGTTTGTGCACGGGTGGAAGGTGAAAGTATTTTTTGAAGAAAAGAAGTTTGCACTTTTATTTCAACAATTTAATTATGTTTTCAGCACATGGACTTTTGGGTGTTTTTGTTTAAGATTAAGGACAAACACGATTAATTTATGCACCTATTTTATATTATTTATTATATTGATTTATCATCTAAATTTGCGCTGTTTATTTATATTTATATTGTTTGTGTTTTCACGATTGCACAGCAGCATTTTTAGAGTGTTATTTGGAAAGTTTTGGCGCAGGAATAAGTTTTCTTGTATAAACATGATATGTTCTTTAAAGTTTACCAGCTACAGTACTTGCAGCTGCTAACTTTTATTTTTCCTCAAATGTGGATTCTTCAGCGAGAAACTATACACACTAGCAATAGTAGCAGACAAACTTGGTAAACCTTTGGAACATATTGAAAGCACAGATAGATTGGGAAAAAGTTAAAGCTTTCTAAGCTTTTCCATTGCCACTTGTGTCCCCATCATGGAACTATTACAAACTATTACAAACTATTACAAAATACAGGTGTGTGTAACTTGCGAGCCAAACAAAAAAAAAAAAACCTTAGGGATCGCTAACAATTAACACATACTCCAACTGTGCAATTTAAACCATATATCTATAAATGTTGCGCTCCTATTATCCAACTATATAAAGTGTGTGAAATATACTATTATATATACAAACTGACAAAAAATTTTCAATATATCAATAAAGTGATCATAATAAAAAACAGAAAAATAAATCCATTATCCAAAAAAAGTCCAAATTTGTGATAAAGTGATTAAAACATAATACAGTGACTTTCCGTGAATCCTTCAGTGAAAATAGATGTGCGCTCACCTCCTTCTAAGCCTATTATACAGGCTTAATAAGCTTTTGGTTCACATATCCTGGAACCTACTAGGATTGCTGCAGTATATGATGGATGTTGGGTACTTCTTGCAAACACCTTTCCCCTTTATTTATTTATTTATTTTTTTTTTTTTCCTTTTAATTTAAATATTTATTAATTTTTCATGTTATTACAAAAATTCCACAAGAAGAGACACAATACATATAAATAATCAATACATTTCTACTTTGCCCCCTTCTATTTTACCTCTTTTCTTTCCCTACCCTCCCAGCCCACCTCTACCCCCCTTCCCCCCTCCCTCCCCTCTGCAAGATCTCCAATCTCTCAAGGCCCAATAACTTTAAATAACTTCCTAGTTTAGAGTTTTCTATATTTCTCTTTCAATCCTGATTTTTCACATTTTTCACATCGCGAATAGTATAGATCCAACCTGTCTTCCTGAGTATAATAAGATTTTTCCATTCTACTAATCTGGTTTACCCTATTGATCCAATCCTCCTCCGTCGGCACCTCCGTCTTCCACCAAAACTTGGGAATCAACCCTTTTGCAGCACTTAAGTAGTACCATACGCCTGATTCTTTATATTTATTTACGGTTGTCTCAACATTATGTAGGAGACACATGGTTGGGTCTAGCCCTATGTCATTTCCAGTTATTATTTCTATTGATTTAACTATTGTCTTCCAGAAAACCTGAATTTTTGGACATTGCCACCATATGTGAAACGCCGTGCCCTCCTCCCCACATCCTCTCCAACACATTTTTGAATTCTCCCCCCTCATCCTGTGCTCAGTGCTCGGTGTAATATGCCATCGTGTCAGACATTTATAATTAATCTCAACGTCTCTCATACTAACACTCTCGTGAACTAATCTAAATATCTTATTCTGTTGATCTTCATCTATCACCACCTCCATATCTCTTTCCCAATTTGTTATAAAAATTAACTTTGTGTCTGTGTCTAATTCTGTGAGTATTCTATAAATTTTTGTAACACCATGTTTCCCATCTCTACGTGTTTCTAATAGCCTTTCAAACATATTCCACTCCTTTTTTAATCTCAAGGGCTTTGGGAGATTTCCAATAAAACATTTTAATTGGTGATATTTCCACTCATCTATTTTAGTAAACATATCTCCTCCCCTCTCTTTTAATTCTTTAAATGTTCTCAATTCCCCCTCTACCAATACGTCTCTCAGTTGGATATCTTCCTTTTTAAACCATCTCCCTGATATCTCATCTTTTCCTGGAGGGAAGAACTCCGTGTTTGCAAGAGGCATTAATATAGAGTTGAATTCCCATTTCATGTGTTTGTGTAAATTATCCCATGTCCTTAAAACGTTTAAAGTGAAGGTGCTTGTGCTTTCTTTAATTCTTCTATAATGTGCTGGAACCCATATCATCTTACTCAAACTAATTCCACTCAGTTCATTTTCTATTTTTACCCAACCTTTCCCCTTGTGGTTAAAAGTCCAATCATAGATTCTTGCTAAAATTACTGCTTTGTAATATCTCTTGACATCAGGTAGTCCCATCCCCCCTTTCTCTTTAGTCCTACTCAGTGTTTCATATGATATTCTTGGTTTTTTATTCCTCCATATATATCTTGTTATCATTCTTCTCATTATCTTAAAAAATGCCTCTGGGAGTTTTATTGGAATCATTTGAAATCTATAGAGTATTTTAGGTATAATTACCATTTTAACTAGATTTATACGTCCTAACCATGATGGATTTCCTCCTTCTAATCTTTTTAGTTCGTCCTTAATCTCATTTATCAGGGAAATATAGTTTAATCTATACAGTTG